ATCCATACAGCATGGATTGGCCATGAACATTGACAGGAAAGTGTAAGACCTTGGGGGTTGCTGGTGGGTAGGGGGAATCAGTTAAAGTATTATTGTACAAAAGCACAATTTTCCTTTAAGATAGGATATTATTATTCAAAATATTTTAATGCAAAAAAGACCTTGTATATGTCTCAAATCAAGCATTATAAAATATATTTATAACAAAGTCAAATATACAGTAATCCTATAAAAATACAATTTTAACCAGCAAACACTGAATTTGCATTTAAAGTTTATTTTTTAAACAATTCCTTTGTTTTCTGCTGATTTACTGTAAAAACTTAATTTTTTTTTTAATAAAGACATTTTTATTTGAGTTTTGACAATATATAATGTAATACATTATCTCGGTAATTGAAGCAGTATTAACATCTCAAATATGCTTTCATAACCAGAAAAAAAAGAAGCAATAAAACTTAATTTTAATAATAATGTTTAATTTCAACAATTTGATTGATTTAATAAAACAAATATTAGCTTGAAAACAGAGGATTCCAATTTTGATTTATTGTATTCATTTGTCACTCAATGTATTCTGATGTGAGCATAAATTGTAGGTATAGCATATAAAGTCGATGTCCATTTGCACAGCCCTGAACAGTGTCAACAGACCATCTTAAATAAATCAGTATAGGTAGCAGACCATTCCAGAGCTACTGTTTATATAAAATGTTCTTCTTTCCGTTCATTTATTTCAGCATTCATAAATAAAAACATGAGCCGGATCAGTCAATAAAACTATTTACCCTATTCCTTTAAATGGCCGCCTCTGACAGGCTAAGCACTAAAACGGCTAGGTTTATGATATTTAATATCTTCCACTAACATGGCCCCCATTTGGACAATCCTGTCTTTAACACCAGAATGGCAGTTATTTTACTGGAGGTGACAGACTGTGAGGTAAGGAGAGTAATTCAGACTATTACCCAGGTGAAGGCATGAAAGCTCAGTGATATATGAAGACCACTTAAATTCATTGTATCTTGTACATCACATCTTTGATAGATTATAGCTGCAGCATTAAAATGGAAATGGTTTCTCTGAGGCTTGACAGGGTCTGCTGTGACCTCTGACCTCCCTTAGAGGAATGTGGCTGACCGAATTATCAGTTAAGAGAAAAATCTACAGGGAATAGACTTGCAGTAATGGAGACTCTACCATGCATAAATAAATGTGCCATTTATCTTTCTATCTATCTATCTATCTATCTATCTATCTATCTATCTATCTATAACTTTGCATGGTAAATATTGCACATAAGTGGTCTTGAGTTAACCTGTTTCCTCTGTTCCCAGGGAGCCGAGCTACAGTATGATTGAGCTTTAATATTGATTGAAAATTTTGTTATTAGGAATAGTAGTCCTCTTGCCTGCTGCCTACTGATTTAATTTAGAAAACATTTAATTTTATGAAGCGGTAAATGATAGCAGCATGCTCCCTTGTGTTTGGGAGCAGCTGGCTCTTTAGCTCCTAGCTGCCACTGATCCCAGACGTCCCTTTTGCAATCATGTGCTCCCTTCCCCTTTGCTTAACAAGTTATTTCAATTTCCAAACGAGTGGCGAACAAGAGAGAGACAACATGCAAATTGAGATCGTAGGCACCATTCATACATGAAAATCCTCCCTCGGAATTCCCTTAACTCTCTCCCTGTTCCCCCCCCCAACCCTCGGCTGCATCTGTCATTAAAAACAGAGTCCTTGTTCTCATCAGATTGTTTTCACCAATGACCTGACACCACCATCTATAATTAATTACATCATTTACATTAGACTATTGACTAAACAAATACATAAATCATAGGCAGAGTCAATAGATTCAGACATATTTAATCATGTTCTAAATAATGATTACTGTTCCCATAATACAATAATTATTTTCAGCAGCTGACTTGAATTAATCTTCTGTCAGAGTGCCATTAAAAGGAGTGAGAAGTTATTTGACAGCATCCTTTTCTAATATTTTGCCTTTTCACACCACCTCCCACACCTTGCTTAAATTCAACTTCTTCCTTAATGCTGGTTTTGCTTTTCTATGTGGTTCTGTTACTTGAGTCTATTTTATTTTATAGCGCACATGCCACATATTTGCACATGCAGAAATGCGCAGCTGGCTCTACATTATGAAGTCAAAAGTATTTTGCATTCTCTCACTCTCTATGGCTGTCTCTCTGGATAGATAGACAGACAGATAGATAGATAGATAGAGAGACAGACAGACAGACAGACAGACAGATAGATAGATAGATAGATAGATAGATAGATAGACAATTAAGAACATTGCATGAATAATTAAAATTGAACAAATAACATTGCCATTACTTTATTCTCAGAGAGTTTACAGAATTTTCCCTTATGGTTATTGTTCAATATAAATTGTGGAATACAGTATATGGCAGGGGTGGACTGACCATTTGGGTACTCGGGCACTGCCTGAGGGCCTGGGGTCAGTAGGGGGCTCCATGAGATGCCCCAGGTACCTTTCATAAGCTTTTTTGGGTGTGGTTTGAGTGTGGGCAAGGACACAGGGGCCCCATGATCCCCTATGGCCCAGGGGCCCCATGAGTTGTCAGTCCGCCCCTGGTATATGGTGAATCCTTTTGGGTAAATCTTAACCATTTAGTTTTTTTTGCATGGTTACATACCTTTTGAAGTAGTCTTTTACTCATTTAAGTCTGCTCTGTGCCACTTGTCAGTGCAGTTTCTAGGTGTGGGAGTCCTAAATTTGCCAGCACTGGTCCCTTCTTGTTGAGGTTATCCCTGCAGTCTTCTGGATCCTTAAATTAGTATTATTATACAGGATTTATATAGCGCCAACAGTTTGCTCAGCGCTTTACAATATCTTAGATTGTAAGCTCAGAGGAGCAGGGCCCTCCTAACCCTCTTGTATTGAACTGTATTGTTGCTGTATTGTCTCCCTTTATATCCCAATGTAGACCAAAATGGTTTGTAGATGTCACAAAACTAGAGGATAGAAGGCTTGGGACCAGAACAACACATGACTGTGGCGTAAAAGGGGCATGAGGTTGGTTTTTATTTTCTATGCTGGTGATTAGGTGAAGGAAGTGGGTGATAAAGGTGCATAGAGTGGATAGAAGAATGGAGAGTAATTATAAATTGCTCTTTTGTAGGCTATTTTGTCAGTCATTACAAAAGATCCCCAAACTGCCAGCTCAAAAGTTTAAAAAAAAATGTTTAGCAGGGGAATGTTCTGCTCTTGATCTGAATGGTCTCCTTTTATTTCCCAGGGAAAAAATTCCTTAAAGTGGTATGACAGGCAAAAAACAAACAAACCAATCTTTGTTTTTCTAAGTCCCCCCTGTAAATTATTTTTTACCTGTTGATCCTACATTTTTTAACTTCCTTTAACAGACTACACTGTGCAGCAAAATTAGTAGTTAGAGGGGTGAATAGGACAATTTGCAATGCATTTATGGGCAGATTGGTTATACAGAAGTGGATCTACTTATTGACTTATGTATAACCAGCCTGCTGGAAAACTTCACGATCAGCGCTGATCAGTGTATTCTGACAGTGGGGAAGTCTCCACACTGTCACACTACAAAGGCACAGCAGAAAGGATTCCCTCATTCACATCGAGTGTGTGGATGGCGGAATCAGCTCTTTTTTTCTTCGTTCAACTTGCTGGTTGAACAAAAAAAAAAGAAGGCTAATGTATGGGCTGCCTCAGGCTTTAACTTATAAGTCACTTATTCAAAATCCACCTGCCTTCTCCAGACAACGCTTCTGTCCAAGGGTTGCTCCTCCATAGATACAGGAACCATCCTAAGACAGAAAGTGTTTTTACTGGCTGGATCACCAGGTGAAAAAAAGCATAAAATAAGAAAACTAATGTAGCCACCACATTTGTGGATTAGTAAACTGATTTTATTTTCATTTTTGTTTTTGAGTTTACTACTGCTTTAAATAAAAGAACACTTTCTGCATGCTGGGAGATTTATGTATCCTCACCACTGTGTTATAATTTATACAAGTGACGGACAGATCTGTTGTGTCATTTCAAAATATGCCTGGTGGCTTTCGTTTGGTTACTTTAAAGTAATGTAATTAGCATCACTGGGAAAGACTGGGAAATGTAATTTATTTTTCTCTAACTTTTTTCTTTAATTTTAAATTATATATATGGCACAAGTAATCTCCTAGATTGTAAGCTCGAAAAAGCAGGGCCCTCGAACCCCTCGTGTATTGTTTTGTTACTGTATTGTCTCATGTACTGTCCCCCACTATAATGTACAGCGCTGAGCAAACCTTCTGGCGCTATATAAATACTGTATAATAATAATAATAAGTAATAACTAAATATAGCAATATTGTACATTGGATCTGTGTGGTTACCATACAACAATGTCTAAGTAAGGTAATATGTAACATCTGGGTACAATAGTGACGTAAAGCTGTTATATTTAAAAAAAAAAAATCTGTTCTTCATTATTGTACATTTATAGAAAACTAACATGTTTCTATAGTTTGTTGATAGAGGCCAGTATTATATACTGTACATGGGCACAGTTAAACCTTTAGATTAGTTCACCAAAAGTCCTCAAGTAGCATTAGGCAGATACATTGTCTACCCACTGAACAGATGTAATAGGTAAGTGAATAGTAGCTAAATGCAGGGGGATAAAAGACGAAAAGGTAAATAGCAGAAAAAATGGCATGAGAAAGATGGACAGAGACCAGAAAACGAGAGGGCAGGTTCCCCCCAGGCTTCCTCCTAGGAAATATGTATATGACCTCTTCACAGATGATGTTAAAGTGTTACTAAACCGACAACAGTAAAATCAGTCTGTAAATGCAGTAAAGCATGCTTGTTACACTTACTCTGGAACCTAAGGGGTTAATCCTCTGCATTGTGTAAAAAGGCTGTTTGATCCTGTTTTCTCTGCCCCTCTTCTTGTTCAAATGTGTATGCTGATAAAACAGACTGAACCTGTAGCCACATGCACATGCTCAGTTTAGTGTGTATTGCTAGAGAGGTTTTTTTTTTTTTTTCTTGGTAGAGTGCATGTGATCAGCACAGGGCCAATCAGCACTGTCCAGATAGGGGGTCAGGGGTTTTGCATCCTCTTAGAGCAGAAAGAAAACTCCTCCTACAAGCTTTAACCAATGCTCTGCTGGACACTGATAGAAGTCACAAGACTGCTATATACTGTTGATGAGAAAAGGTTTATATTTACTAAAATAGTTGCATTTCCATGTTCTGTGTACTGTGGGAGTCCAGATATAATGAATGCAGGGTCTGGGGTTTAGTAACACTTTAAAGGAGATATATAGTCACAGCATGCACTTTCATTTATAACACCAGAATTGTAATAACAATACAACCAATAATTATTTTTGACTATCCAATATAAGCTTACTTGAAAAATCTCCTTTTATGTTGTGATTTCTGCTTGTCTGCTGGCCATCTCTTTCCACAATTTCCTGGATTCCCTGAATGCTTTGGAAATTCACCCCTGCTGTTTACTTTCAATTTCTAAGGGTTACATATCCCATGATACCTTGCTAACTGCAAGTAGTGATTCTTGTACTGACTCCACCTCCTGAAACTCCATCCCTGAGCAACTCTGTAGTTCAGAAGGCAGGCGCTGTGAAATGGGTGACATATCGGTGCCCACTCACTGGGCATAGTGATTATGTGTCACAGAATTCAAGAAAGTATATTTGTGGAAAGTATATTTTCAAATGTCAAGATTGTTCAAATAAAAAGGATAAGACTAGATAGCATTTAAATACAATATGGAAATATGTGATTTTACATTTTGACCATAGATAAGCCTAAGTGCAGCCAAAATAAAAACACAGAAAAATCAGCACAAGGGGGCAGCACAGTAATAGTTATCTCTTCCGCCTGGCAGTACTAGGGTCATTGGCTTGATTGGGCAGGTGGTGCCCAACCATGGCACCACCTGCCTAGAGTTTGCATGTTCTCCCTGGGCCTGCTTGGGTTTCTTCTGGTACTCCGCTTTCCTCCTGCACTCCAACGATATGCTGGTAGGTTAATTGGATCCTTTCTAAATTGGCTCTAGTATGTGTATGTATGAATGTGAGTTAGGGACCTTAGATTGTACGCCCCCTTGAGGGTTAGGGGCTGATGTGAATGTACAATATATATGTAAAGTGCTACATACATTGATGGCATCTATATACAGTAAGTACCTGAAGTAAAATCAAATAAATAAGGGTTCTAACTTACAGTCAGTAGGGTGTGTTCTTAATGCTGATGCCTCTATTGTTAGCTGAAATCTTCCATTCCAGTCCACTCCTCCAGATGTAATCTTCCAGTGCAGCAGGGGTTATTAGAACTAAGGGGCTATCACAGGTTCTCATCAAGAGTGCCCAACTGTATCCACTTTTTCTGTCCAGCCATACTAGAGCTTCGATGAACGAAACATTATCTATAAAAGGAGGATGAACAGATGGTTGAAAGGTGTACCTCCTCCATTCCTAGAAACAGTTTCATTCATAGAAGCTATAGTATGGCTTTTTTATGAATGGAGCAGGGGGGCAGAAAGGGTGGGCATCATTGGGTACTTTTGATGACAGTCTGTAACAGCTCCTTAGTTCTATTAACCCCCACTGCACTGGAAGATTACAGTGGCAGAGGTGGGAGAAACATGGACGTAGGAGGATTTAAATGGACAGAAGAGGCATTGGCACAAGGGACATATCCTATTAACTGTTAGTTATGTCCCTTGCAGGGGCGGACTGACAACTCCATGGGGCCCTCGGGCAATAGGGGGGGATCATGGGGCCCCTGTGTCCTTGCCCAAACTCAAAAAAGCCTATGAAAAAGGTACCAGGGGCATCTCATGGGGCCCCCCCGGGCAATAGGGGATCATGGGGCCCCTGTGTCCTTGCCCAAACTCAAAAAAGCCTATGAAAAAGTTACCAGGGGCATTTCATGGGGCATTTCATGGGGCCCCCTACTGACCCTGGGCCCTCGGGCAGTGTCCGAGTTTCCAAATGGTCAGTCTGCCCCTGGTCCCTTGCTAATCTTTCTGTTTCCTTTTTTTGGCTGGACTGTGGGATGGAGAATAATGATGCATGTTATATTTTTTTGTAACATTTTAAATGTATTCCAATCAAACTATAATCTGGAGCAGAGGACAGAACATGATTGATACATCACTTATCTCAGTTGCAACGTGAATTTTTTAAATAAAATACACAACTCCTTATCCTTGCCCATATACTAAAATATGAATCATGATTAAAAACTCTAATTAGAAATGAATGACCTATGTATTTTTGCCATCCTGTTATACATTTTCAGAACAAATCAATAAATATGCAGAAAGTTTTCTTTTCAAATGTTCTTTTCATGGTCTTGTTTTCATGTATCTATTAAAAAGGTCTAATTGACAAAAGAGACATGCATCCCCTCTACTAATTGATTTGTCCTAGCAGTGCATGTTAGTTACAAATAATTACAAGGCTCTGAATTGATTAAACAGAAGATTTAAGGGGATTGTGACATGACATTTTAAACAGGGACATGACAGCTTGTGGCCTCAAGTGATAGTTTATAAAACAGCAGGATGATGATGCATTCAAATGCTACAGCTAGTTAATAATTCCAATCTGGACATGTCAGAAGCACACTGAGCAAGACACGTGCAGCCAGCAATTTGATCTTAGATCGAAGGTGCAAGATTGCCCTGAAGGAAGAAAAAACATTTTGGTGCAGAAACAAGTTTGTAAAGTTTGGCCGAACAGCGCTAGTAAGAATTGCTTGAGACAGAAAATCATTCAATGCTTTCCACTGAGTGCATGAGTGAAATTTATCACTCCTGTAACATATTGTACCGCACTTGTTTGTACATTGAAGGTAATGGCTGTTCAAGGAAGTGGATATAAAATGCTATTGTCTTCTAAGCCAGTTCCTTCTGAACGTAGCTAATATTTAAACACTGCCACATCATTTTTTAAAACCAGGTGAGTTATTTATTATCAAGTGGCATATTTTGGACATTGTCACAGTACATCATGTCTTTTTATAGTGCATACTTTTTAAAAGACTTATTTTTTTAAGTGAACTTTTAAACAAAAAGTACAAAAGATGCAAAAATGACTAATTTTAACCCAAAACTCTCCACAACATCTTCTCATTACCACTTCATTAAAAAAGGTTGCAAAAAACAAATGTTACCTGACATCAGAAATAAGGTAAGAAACATAATAAATGATTATATGAAATAGTTATGAAAGTGGGATTCTAAGAGGTGTGTGGGGTAACTGGTCACGGACTACCAGAAGTCTAAGGTACTGAAAAAATGACAAATTAACACTTCATCTTTTTATAAACAGATACTGTGGCTGACTGGAAGGCTATTATTTTTTCATTATTAATAATAGATTGTTGAGATATGAATACAAGGTTGTTTAAATAATTGAAATAACAATGATGCAAATCACAAGGTTTCCATATTTTTCATGTTTAAAAGTTGAGGAATGTATCATCTCTAATCATATTAATTCCAACAAGAATCTAGAAATGGCATTTCTATGATAAGAGATTGTTCCACAATTTGGAGCAGTAAAATAAATAATAGTTTAGAGAATGTCCACTTAGCAAAGTAAAAATTCTCTACTTTTGTAAATAAACCCCAATACAACGTTAATGGGTAAAATTACACCAGGGAAATGGTCCTATAATTCTCCACACTATTCTTGGAGTCATTAAAGGAGAAGTCTGGCTAAAGCCCTTTTGGCCAAACTTCTTCCATGGATCACAGGAGTGCACTTACAGTAGGTTTGGACTCCTGTGACCCATATTCAGCTTTAGCCTGCTGTCAGCTAATGTTACAGGCCAGGCTCTGCAGGGATCTTGACATTCATGTAGGGATCTACCCAGATGCCTAACCAGCAGGTGGTCCAACCTCAAAGTGTGCCACTGAGAGCCTGAGCCAGCCGCTCCTGCCCCTTCACAGTCCATCACAGTCCACTGCTCAGAGTGGATCAGAGAACTGATTGATCAGTTCTTGGTGTAGAACCGGCTCGGGACAGCTGCAGGACTGGACCAATATTGCAGCCATCTAGCTGAGCATGTATGTTTGTTTTTTTATTCCCATACTTTTTTTTATTAAAGTAGACTTCTCAGTAACTTTACTTGTATACCTGACTACCTTCCTAACATGTATTAATATACAGCAAAAGCATAATATAAAAAACTCCTAACGCTTCAGCCATATGACTTTACCTAGCCTGAGATATCTGTTGTGGGCTATAGAAAGTATTTCTTCTGTCTACTGTCCCCCAATGATGAGACGGCAACATTGTAATTTAGTAGCAAGCTGCAGTGTGTAAGACTGCAGCAGGGGCACATTTGATCATAAATATATAATGTGTTATCTTTAGGCATAACCACCTTTTCTTGGTTACATCTTTGCTTTGAATTTCCATTTGCTTCTACATCCTCAATCTAACTCACTCCATCTACATGTGGGAATAATTTATGATCATTGTGAGTGTTAGGTGATATATTAGGTGTTGAGTGTTTGGTAATGAGTAGATGCAAACTTATACATATTTATACATCTTGCTGTTTGTGTTATGTGCTCCATTCATAGGATACTAGATATATGCTGATTGGTTCCCTTGCACCCCACCTAGGTGATCTCCAGTTTAGTCCCCTATGTCCGCCCCCCAGACTGCTTATTGCTGGCTGCTGCTTTCCAATGTAAGCCCAATAATAATTTTTCGAATATTATATGTACATGTTATATCATTTTGTTTTATGTAATTGATTGTGCAATTACAGTTTTTTTTTTGTATTCTATATGTAGTAATACTGCTTCCCTTTACAAAGAAGTCATGGTCCTGAAGAAGCCATACGCACAGGCAAAACGCGTGGACCTTTCCTTACTGTAGTGTTATACTCTTTGATAAGAACTATTCCATAAGGTTATATGTACTACATAAGATGTAAAGGGTAATGCCAGGAACTATTCCCCTCCTTGAAAGGGTGTCCTGGATTTCATGTTTTATCTTGTCTGTTATGTAGTTTTATGTAAATACAAAATTGTATTTTTTTAACATGATAGTTTGTTCTCTCACTGTGCCTAAAAAATTCACCAGTTTGGCCATACAACTTTTTTAATTTCCCTAAAACAAAACCCTCCATTCTTGCATATTGTAGCATTCTCATTTCCTGGGAGTGTCTAATTACT